ACACACACATACATTACACATTATATATATATATACACACACACACATACATTACACATTATATATATACACACACGCATACATAACACACACACACACACAATACAAATATATGATATACAACAATTCTGTGCGTCTCCTGGGGGCTAAGCCCCCCTTGTCTTTAAAACCTAGTGCCGCCCCTGGTTTTTGCAGATCCTGGTTTTTAAGGCTGCCCAGCAGCTGCACTTTCAAAGACTTAAGCTATGTGAACAATTTCAGGCCACAAAACTCAAAATATCTGCACTTTATGCTCGACATGCCGACTACAGTGCAGTGACCCACACAAAGTAAACTAGGCTACACGCTACATTGTTTGTGAGTGAACCCACGCCACACCCAAAGCACTCCCCGGAGGACAGCCGTGCAGGGGGGGCTCACCGCCAATCAGCTCTACCTGCTATCCGAGGCAGCGAGGGCGCGCAGCGGCTGCTAAAAACAAGCTAACAGCTCGATGCAAACATCATTTAAACATGTAGCCACGACACAAACACAAGCTAAACACYCAGCCATGACACAAACACAACTAACCAAGTGAAATCACAAACTACTCACAGAGTCTTCATCACTCCTGTCCAAGTATCGATATTAGCTTGTTGCAAATATCGCTAACTAGCATTACTAACTAGCAGCGGGGGCGCGTGATTTACCGAGGGGCGACATGAAAGCTTTCCTCTCGGTATGTGGTGGCTAACCGTGCTTTCACCTGGATTGAGAGTTTTAAAACACAGATTTATTCAGACAGTTAAAGAGTATCTACATAAAAATCAGAGCCACCATCTCTCATTCAGCTCATCCCCGCATCACGTCCCCTGCTTTATTTTGACACACGGAGCATTCCGCAGCTAAAAACAAGCCCAGCCGCTCAGCAGCTTAACGTTAGCTCGCTAACGCGGCGGGATTACCGACTAATGCGGGCTCACGGAAATAACGTTAATCTTCATGTGGTTTCTGTCACTCACCGAACAGCACCGTTTTCCTCTTTCTCGGCCTGATATTCCAGCGGGGACATTAGAGGACAGCGGTGTGGGCTCGTTGTGTTGACGCTCCGCTCACAACAGCTGTGTTGTGTTTTGAATGAGCGCTGAACGGGCGGAGCTTCCAGGCAGCTAACTGGGCCAGTCCACCCGTGTCCGTCCTCAACAAACCCGCTGCTGTCCTCACACAACGGTTAGCATCGTCTGCAGTGTGTTGCTGGTGTGTTGTCGGTGCGACAGCTGGGACGGTTGTGTTTAGACAGAGCTCTGCACTGACTGAGCGTCCTGCTGGACCCGGAGAGGTTCATGTTTGGTTCGGGCGCCCTCTGGTGGTCGTTTGAAGGACTGCTTCCTATTTTCAGCTCAAATCTGTGGTTCTCAAAATATTCAGGTTCTGACAAACAAATATGACCTTCAGATGTAAAAACCTGAGTTGTAAAGTAACTAAGTACAAATACTTTGTTACTGTACTTAAGTAGAATTTTTGGTTATCTGTACTTTATTGAGTAATTATTTTTCAGTGTACTTTTTACTTGTACTTATTACATTTTTACACAATTATCTGTACTTTCTACTCACTACTTTTTAAAAAAAGGTAAATAGAAAGTCGTTACTCCTATTTTATTCCAATTTATTACTTTAAAAATCCTATCCTGATAAACTGTGTCTCCTGGATAGAGTGAATTTAATTGTGTTTGGATGAGAAGTATAAATATATACCATTCTGACACACTATTAGCTTGTACACAACCCATCACAGCTGCACGCTGTTAGAAAATATAGTTTTTGGAGAAGTCACCTCCCAATAAATGTCATTTTGTAAAATCTAACTGCTCACTTTTACTCAGTACTTTTACTTTTAATACTTTTGTAGATTTTGTGTCAGAAATTTACTTTTGATACTTAAGTACAAAAAATATCAGATACTTTAAGACTGATACTCAAGTAATATTTTTAGAGAAGACTTTAACTATTACCAAAGTATTTTTATAAGATACTTGTACTTTTACACAAGCATCACTTTGAGGTACTTTATACAACACTGGTAAAAACATTTATATTGCTGGTTCAAGAGTACACATATTGATTTATAAACAAATACTACAAGGATATAACAGCCTAAACAACTACTTATTTAGTTATGGTTAAAATGTGCTAATAAAAATCTTTACATTTGAATTGATATCTGTAAATCCTCTAATCTAAAAATCTGAGAAAAACTGACATGAAATTTTTGTATTTAGTTTTCTGAACTAGTCTACATTTTACAGAGCATGATTAATGAGTTTCAAATGTGTGCTTCCTAAAATTTGCTTCCATTTTTGTTGTTTAATAAAAGGTTTTGTAAAATATACTCACATTCATGTTTTGTCATGTTGATATGTAGTTTTTATGATTTGAGGAAATAAGATTTTATTATTATTGTATTATTATTSTAATATTCAGTTAAATTGAACAATATTTAGTTAAACTTTAGATAAATGTGTCATTTTTATTTTGAATAACACTAATCTACCCAGTGTGTTTGTTCAACATTTTTTAATTTGAGGAACATGAAAATAAATCAACATAATTTATTGTTTTTTTCTCTCTTTGCTTTTACATCATACAGTTTTCACTTTTCATACAGCCTGTATTCAGGCAAACTGGTACATATAAAAACTAAAACATGTTGTCCTTCATTGTTTGTTTGCTTATAGGCCTGTCACAATAAACAATAAATCAATTAATCGTAAAAAAAATAATAATAATTATAAACTGATAAATTAAACTGAGGAAGATAAATTAAAATGAAGATAATTTTCATTTGCCTGCTTTTTTGTTTTCTTCATGTCTCCCTCTTTTTTACTTGGTGTAGAGAGGAGTCAGGTATTTGCAGAGCCGGCTCTTGGCATAAGCGAACTAGGCGGTCGCCTAGAGCGCCATCTGCTGGAGGGGSCGCCGAACTGCAGAAGAAAAAAGTAATTATTTGTAATAACTGGTTGTAWCTCTGCTCAGCGCCCCTTTCAATTAACTTTGTCTTAAAAAACTATAATGAAGTATTACAGGAAAAATAAACTACTCTACCCATAAAACATTTTCTCTGCCYCAATGCAACAATCACCCCCACCCTCTCTCTAATTTGATTGACGTTGCACTGACTCGTCCTGCTCTGGTGGGGGAGGGGCTAGTAGCACCTCTCAGGTAGTGGTTCATGTTGACAAACTCAATAACAACAAGTCTGTATTTTGTTGTCCCAAACATGTCAACCTCTTCAGACCTGTATAAAAAGACTCAAAAATCCGTATATTTTGCAAAAACATCCATACAACTCGCACTCGCGGGGGTGAGGGGAGGTTGTCAGCCTCGCTGGGGACATGAAAGCGCCTGCGGTGAAGCAGGAGGAAAGGAGAGAGGAAAAAGTTCAAAACTTATCTCTAGTGGCAGAACAGGTTGGAAGATGGCTGTTTAATGTCATTTATTGTTTTTTAAATCATCCAACAGGCTCTGACATGTTAGATAAATTTGAAAATGAGGTTTTAAGACTTGAAAATATCCGTGAGATTGCTCCATACCTCTGTATGCCTGCAAAATGATGTCAAATCCTTATAACTTACAGACAATCTGTACAAGTTGACATGTATGTTGTTATTTATTTGCTTCCTGGGAAAGCAAATAAATCTATGTTTACCACAGTACCTTACACTGTCAAACTTGTTTTTAGGGGTTCAAATTGGGGTGGGTGGGGTGCCCTTCAACTCGCCTAGGGCACCGAAATGTCTAGAGCCAGCACTGGGTGTTTGTCAGGTGATGGTCTCTAACCTCTGTGAACAGGTATTTAGTCAGGAGCGTCTTCGTACAGCTGGAGACACCTTGGGATTGCAGACAGTTGTTTTTTTTTTTTCTTTTTACACTAAATTTTAATGTAAACTTCAGTTAACAGGGGTAGTTATATCATTATTAGTTTAAACTGGTCTCCAATAATATTATTGTTTATCGCAGTACATTCGTCCAGTAAACATTGTTATCGTGACAGGCCTAGTTGCTTCATAATAAACAGTCCACGTTTAGGTCAAATAAAAAAGATCTAATGAAGCTTGACATAATCACTCCCCAAATTTAATCTGCCTCTCCTGTACTAAACCGTGCAGCTCTTTTGCTCGATTCTTCAGCTCCTCTGCCTTCTTCTCGTCCTTCTCTGTGCCTTCCCCGAGTTTGTACATGCGACTGGCGTTGACGCAGCCCCACACGTGTCCCAGCTCACAGGCTCTGTTGGCGTACGTAAAGGCTTGAGCCATATCTGGCGCCAGCCCTTCAGAGTCGCCCGTGATGAACATGGTGCTGAGGTTAAAGCAGGAGGGAGCGAAGCCGTCGGCGCAGGCTTTCATGTAATACTGCTGCGCCGCCTTGACGTTGGCTCCTCCCTCCACAGCTTGCCCGTCGTGGACCAACAGGCCCACGTTATGGCAGGCGTCTGCAGACTTCTTTCCTCCACCATCGCAGGCACGCAGAAAGCAGGAGTAGGCTGTTTTCAGACACTTGGTCATTCCACCTGGTGAAAAGATTTCAACAAGATCAACAGATATTTGTCATAAAGTCTTATTCTATCTTATGCAGTGATGTAAAGAAGCTGTTAGAGGTGCTTCCTTCAAAATTAAATACATGAAATYCAAAAACGTCTTCTGTATTTGATCTTTTTTGAGCCATTTAAATGTGCTAAGGTTCCCTTTCTGGTATAAAACTTGAGTTCTGTTGTGTGCCGTTGTGTCCACTAACCAGCAGGTACAATAGAGTTAGTTTTTATCCTTTCTCCTAGAGGAGGAAAGGTGACAGCTGTGGATCTTAGCTATAGAGGCAAAACTTATCTTTAAAAGCTCACGCTTGTGTTTGTAATCAGCATTTCTAACCTGAGGATATTCAAGAGTCAGCATCAGAAATGAGAAAATGGAGGTTACAAAAGAGAAATGTACATTTATCCCCTTTTATACTGCCAAGACGAGAGAGGAAAGACCTCCTCCACATGACAGCTAGCAGGAAGCTAACACAGCAGCCGGTACAAAGGTAGGTGTGTGTGTGCATTTGTGTTATACAGAGTATGAAATGTTTTTATGCAACTTTGTCATGAGTTTTATGCAAAAGTAAAACCTTAGAGTGTATATTACAGCATAGACAAAACACGAGCGACGAGCGCGCCACTCCCGAGCACCGAGAGCAGCAGAACCTCCTCCTGATAATCATCACGTTTTCAGTTCACTAACGTCGGGGAAAACGATCCAAACCATACTATTAGCCCATCAATTTAAAGCCCAGACTCTGCTCTTTCCAACAATATAAGTGTCACAGCTCTACGTGAAAAATTCACAGAACAAGCAGCCACAGAATAGTGAAAAAGGTTAAATTCTTGAACCATAAACACAAACGTCTTTGTTTTTATGTCTTTAATCCACTTTGGAGTGATTTTTTCCACTTGGCTGGACCTGTACATCTCCTGTGTTAATGTTGGTACATGTAATATTCTGTACTGTGGAGATCATTAAGAGTCGTTGTTGGGTGAAATAATGTTTTGCTAACACTGTGTTGACCGTGAACCGAAAGTGATCGGAGTGGCATCAAGTGCTGGACAGGATGTCCGTGGCATATAGGACATAAACTTTATTAGTAAATGTTTAGAGCAACTTAGTAAATACAGTACTGGCCAATTAAGAGGAGAAGGTAGAGTAAGAAAGAAAACAGACAGATGTGGAGCTGGATACTTAAATTTGCATTGTTACTAAGTAGATTGCGTGTACTTTTGGAGTTTGTCCTGTAAGATGGTCCAAAAGAAAAGTATTTTAGTTGTAGTAGACTGCCCAGCTAATCTACAGTTGTATTTGTCCCTTTCTCATAATTGAGATATTATCTCATAATAATGAGATAACTAAGTCATAATTATGAGATAATATCTCATAATGACTTGACTATCTCATAATATAATTATGAGATATCTCATAATTATNGCCTAAATGCACTGAGTTGCCGCCATGTGATTGGCTGATTAGAAATTAAGTGTTAACGAGCAGTTGGACAGGTGTACCTAATAAAGTGGCCGATGGGTGTATATTTTAAAGCTGTGAAATTACTTTTACACTGTTTATATAAAAAAATAATCAAGTCAGCCTTTGCATTTAAATGGGTGTAGTTCTGAGGTTTCATGGCTAAATACCTACGTCAATTAAAAATCAAATTTTACTTTTTACCATAAAACTTACAAAAAATAAACAAACCTGCCATGAGTACAAAAATTAAGTGAAAATTTTGTAATCCCTGCATTCTTGAAGCCTGATTTTATTGTTTGCAGTTTCTCTAAAGCACTCAAGTTCTAACAAATTTACAACTGAGAAATGTGGAAACTTCAAAACATAAGCAAATGTTGCACTAGTGACCAATGAATCTAGCTTTTAATCCACTAACGTGTTTAGTTTTGATAAAAATGTGGTTCTGTTGGATTCTTTTAGAAAGATGTCAATCATTTTAATAAACGCTTTGAGAGCCTAAAGAAAAAGTGTTCACCAAGTGTCAAACTTGTAGTTTAGGCTAAAATCAACAAGAACTCAAACCCAGCCAACAGATTGATTTGGAAGATGTTTTATTAACCACAGTCAGAGTTAGTTCTCCTTCTCCTGGACAGTCTTAGTTCCACGCAGTCTTCCTGTACGACGGGCAGCAATAAGACCAACCTTACGACCAGCAGGTGCGTCCCTCCTGATTGTTGAGGGTTTGCCAATGTGCTGATGGTTACCACCACCGAAGGGATGCTCTACGGGCTGGAAAAGAAAAGAAGTTTGGTTTGAGGAGCGTACACACACACACACACGGCCTCAACGATGTCATTTTAATTCCCTGCTCAGTTCTGCCTGTAGATTAACCCAACACCAAGGTGGTGAAGGGTTTTTAACACACAGTCCCAGCAAGTATAGCAAAGTGAATGTTTTCATGTGGACTTACGTTCATGGCCACACCACGGACACGTGGCCAGCAGTTCCTCTTGGCCTTGTACTTGTGATAAGCACGACCAGCCTTCAGGATGGGCTTGTCGATACGACCACCTCCAGCGACCACACCTTAAAGACCGGAGCAGAGGCTCTTAACTCAGACAGCTGTGAAGGTGGACAGTGTTTGTTTGTAAAACAAACACACATCTGTGTGTTTCTTACCAACAACAGCTCTGTTGGCGGAGGAGATGACCTTCTTGGAGCCTGAGGGCAGCTTGACTCTGGACTTCTTAGTCTCGGGGTTGTGAGAGATGACCGTGGCGTAGTTTCCTGATGCTCGGGCCAGCTTGCCTCTGTCCCCGGGCTTCTCCTCCACGCAGCAGATGATGGTTCCCTCAGGCATCGTTCCAACAGGGAGAACATTACCAATGTTCAGCTGAGCTGTGGAACAATGAGAAGAATGCTTTAAACTGATGCATCAGCCACAATCTGCAAGACCTGTTCGATTCAAGAATCCAGCTGGAAGCAGACGTTCTTTAAAGGGGACCTATTGTGCAAAATTCACTTTTTAAAGTTTTTTTACTCAACTTTGGGTATGTAGTTCTTAAAAAAACAGTCCTAGGACCAAAAAGTGCACCCAGGGGCATATTTACTGTAAGTAAATGTATTTTTAATGTATATTAATGACAAGTTTTATACTTCCATCATTTTGTGATGGCACAAGCCGTACGACAACCCACCGGAACCTGCGTTCAGCCCCTTACTTAGCAACCCCCAGGTGAGACTCCACCTCCTCAGTATAAAAAGCCATCATGGTGTTGTTGTGTAATGCGCAGCTCATTTCACAACAAGCCTCCAATAGGGCAATGGGTAGAGTGTTGGACCAGAGAGTGGGAGACCAGGGTTTGAGACCGGACATAATTTAATTATTTATTTATTTTCATTCATTATGAACACATTTTCTCATGTACCTCTATTGTTTAGCTTATTAAAGCCTTGTTAAAGCCTATTTGTTTGAGTTTCTGAGGTATTTTGACCACTGCTGCTCCCTGCTCTGGTAACAGCATGCAGAGTGAGCGCAGAGCAGAGGAGGGAGAGAAAAAAAAAAAAAGAAGCTGCAACAGACTCTGCCTCTGGGTCTCATATGGTTGTACAACGGAGCTTCTGCTATTATTAGCCATGCTAACGTAAACGCTGGCTTTGGAGGGCGGAGTTAATGTCAACAGATTTTTGGAGGGCGTTACCAACAGAGCTCATTAACATAAACAGCTCTTCTGAATGGAAGTCAGAGCAGGCAGAACTAGAAAATGGGAAATTTTATTATCTGAGAATAATTTTGTGCATTAAATTGAATGAACATGGTCTGGATAGTCCACAGACATACCATAAACATTTCTAGGACCCATAATTGGTCTCCTTTAAAGTACTCAGTCTCTGTTTTATCCCACATCCTGTCTTAGATCATTTATCTCTCCCAAGCTATAAGTCAAGCAGATTGTTTCAGCTTTTATCCTCCTAAAAAAAGAAAAAGACAATCAGGACTTGTTATCTTTGTGATTGTCAAGCAGGCATGTTGGCAAAGCGAAAAGTGAGATTTAAATCCAGACACACAGGAACTATGACAAAATAGACAAAACAAAAACAGAGGTCACAATATCGTTGTTTTTATTACCTGACTTTATAAAACACACCTCTATATTTTTAATGAATTTAGAGCTTGGTGTGTTGAAGTGAAATTCACAGTTCAAGTGAGTCACATTACTGTTTCTAGCAATGTTCCCCAAATAATTTATTTATTTATTATTATAGTTTTATTTACAGCTATTTTACCAGGCAAGTCCCATTGAGATCTCAGATCTCTTTTACAAGAGAGACCTGGGCCTGAAGGCAACCTGTTGTACGTTTTGGTGGGTGCGGGAAACTGGAGTACCTGGAGATCGAACTCAGGACCTTCTTGCTGTGAGGCATCGGTGCTAACCACTGAGCCGTCGTGCTGCCAATAATAATAAATAATAGGTATGACCTCAGATTCATATCAGAGTATAAATTGAATCCCTTCACAGTAACAGTATATATCACAACAGAAAATTATCATAAAAAGTAAAGATAATGTAATTTTCAGAGCTTTTTTTCTTCAGAAAACTGTAATCATATATATGAAATATTCGTGTTCAAAAACTGAAGTCAGTAGAAAACCACCAATGTTAAATAATATGATTGTTAGATGGGATAAAACCATACAAAACCAGAATTAATGAGTGAGGATTTATTGCCACTGCTGACAGGAAACCACACACTGCCGGCCAACCAGGAAGTTGATCCATTTATAGAGTCTTCAATGCCCGCGTTCGCCCCCTACTGACCTACGGCTGAATCACAGGCATTCATACACAATTCTCCCCTACATGTTCTCATAACGGATAAATATGTGTTGTTATAGATATTTCGGACATGTCACTAATCTATATCAATTAACACATAATAGATTAAACATTATAAAAAGGAAAACCTAAAAATATAGTGTTGTGCTTTTAACATCAGTACTAAACCCTAATAACTCTAAATTTCTTCACATAATCACAGCCAGCATTTTTATTTTAATTTCTGCCTGCTGAACTTATCAGCTGCTGCTCTGCTGTGCGCTTATCTTCCTCATCTTGTTTTTTCTGAATGGTCCAAGGAGGACAGAACGTGTCATTCCTGGACTGAGCTGTCTTATGAATGAGGCCACAGATTAAGRAACACATACTAAATGTAAAACTTTGAGCTGGATCCATAAATTAGCTTCACTGAAAACAAAACTGAACAAAGCCTGAGACTCTTAATACAAACAAGGTGTACAGCTTGTACATGTTACACATGTTCCTTTTAAAGCTTGTACACAGTTCTACACAAACCTCTGTTCACACTTTTCCCTTCTGATTGGGTTCTACAGAATTGTTACGTACAACCCAAAAAGCCTCATAATAATTATGTAGAACACAATCAGAAGTCTTATGAATTAGTTTTTCACAAAGTTAGGAGCTATTGAGAAAATCATAATACAATGTTGAGGGAAGAGTGAGTTCATGGTAAATGAGAGTTTATGGTAGGGCTGGATATTATTTTCAAAGTCACGATTCAATTACATTTTAATTATTTGGGTCAAAATTTGATTTGATTTTGAATCATTGTCACTTTAAATGCTTTTATTAGGGGTGTCCCGATCCGATATCGATATCGGTCCGATATCAGCCAAAAAACGAGTATCGGATTTTATCGGCCTGCATAAAAAATGTCCGATATAAGCGCTCCGATATTAGCAGTCCGTTCCAGCATTTCACTGACTCCGCTCCAGTGTTTCTATCCAGCAGCGCTTGGATCCTGCTTGTAGCGTTCACGTGATCACAACAACAGCAGCGCTAACAAGTTAGCAAGAATGTCGGCAGCAGAACTTTTTATTTTCATCAGAAACAGAGTTGCAGCTAAGTGTAAAGTTGTCACGCACAAGTTTTCTGAGGGGGAACAGAACCGTGAATGTTTAAACCGATGTGACAACTACTCTCCACCCTGGTAGCAGCTTTGCGGTTCGGCTTCGGTCCAGTGACCGCACACAGC